CCTCCTCCCTCCTCCCTCCTGCCCCTCTCTCCTCCCCTTCCCTTCCCGCCTCCCTGCTGCCCCTCCCTCCTCCCCCCTCCGTCCCTCCCTCCTCCCTCCTCCCAGCTCCCGACGTGACGGGCCTGAGCGCTCGAACTCCAAGGGCTTCTTCTCTGGTTTCGGGGCGAAGTGCCCATTTTCAGCAACTTCTCTTTCCTCCACCGAGGGCTTGTTTCAGGCCCCCCCCCCCCCCCATTTCCTTAAAAGCGAGCTTCATCTTTTGCTGTTACCCGCTCAGTTCAAGCTTTCATCAGCCAACTTTCGTTTTACGCTCGGGTTTGATTGTCAGGCGCTGAGTTTTCGGGGATGTTAGGGGCCCGCCCGCCGCTGCCATCGGAGCCTGTGGGCCGCGGGGGCGGGACCGGGAGGGGCTCAGGGCACCTCATGGTGACCTGCCGTCCTGGGCGTCACGGACACTGGCTTTTTATTATATATAGATGTATTTATTACAGAATTTCAAAATAATGTGATTATCTTTCAGATTAATTCAGGTGCTCCATCCATCATATTACAAGTCCTCCCTATCACTTTGAGATCAGGAAAATCAATGTAATCATTTTAAATCCCATCTATTTTAAAGATATGGACTCCAGTACTTAAATAGGAAAAATATCAGATGTTATTGGAGCTAAGGCAACGGTTTGAGGAGATAAACTTATATGAGGATGTTAATTTAACAAACAAAAAAACTGAGCATATAGCATGAACCAGACACGGAATTATATATACTCTGGGGATTATAGCAGTGACTGACAGTGAGCGAAATATTTCTGTAGACATGGAGCTTATACTTTATTGGGGGAACAACAAAACAAGAAAAACTGTCAGATGTGCTCGGGGCTATGAAGTCCTGAAACACGGATAGGTGATCTTTCTACTTTATTTGATTGATTTATTTAATTACTTTTTCTGGATAGGTGATATTTTAAATGGTATGGCCATGGAAGGCTTTGCGGATAAGGCGATGAGTGGGGAAGAAAATTGAGAAAGTGCCAAGTAGAAGGGAGACCAGGAAGGAGAGCCGGGAGGTGGCAAGGAGTTGCTGTGGCTGCACCCAGGGAGCAAAGGGAAGGTCCGGAGTCGAGCTGTTCCCTCGGGTCCTGCAGACCAACGTCTAACTGAACACAGGGCTCACTGTTTGGAGTAACAGAACCAAAGAAACACAAGTCTTGTTGAAAGAAAACCGTTTTATTATTTATTTATTTTAAAAATATACTTTATTGATTTTTTACAGAGAGGAAGGGAGAGGGATAGAGAGTTAGAAACATGGATGAGAGAGAAACATCAATCAGCTGCCTCCTGCACACTCCCTGCTGGGGATGGGCCCGCAACCAAGGTACATGCCCTTGACCGAATAGAACCTGGGACCCTTGAGTCCGCAGGCCGACGCTCTATCCACTGAGCCAAACCGGTCAGGGCCCATTTTATTTTTTACTCCTGACAAGTGCAGGGGGGCAGGGCAATCATTTCCAAAGCTGTGCCTTCCAGAGGGAGGCTTAGCCCTGGCTTATTACACTATTTTGTCAATTACATGTTGGTTTCTAATTCAGGTTAACGACATGTTCATTTCTTCCTTGTGGTGGGCTAACCTCATCCACACCCTGGGACCTTTTCACATTTAGCAAGAATGACACGTAAGAACTGCTCAGACCTGAGACCCTTGTTCTATCTAACAGTTTCTCCCTGAGGAATTTGCAGAACACGCAGAACTATGATCCTGGTTGACAGATGTGGGGAAATACCCTCGGCAAGGAGGAGGCAATAAAATTGGAATTTCGCTCCAGGAAGGAGTGGATGTTAGAGCCTGGGAAGATCGCTCTGGGGTCCCCCAGATGCACCCACACACCTCCCATGTTTTACATGCAACTCCAGGGGGTTCCCAGGCATGGAACCCATGTGTGGGACTCCGCTTCAGAGCCCCGTGTCCCAAGCTGGCTTTCTTTTCCCGTGGCTTCCCCAGCTTCTGATTTGAGAAGATGGACCTCGAGAACACAGATCTCTGTCTAATTCTGTTATGGAAAGATTGACAACCTGGTGGCCAAAGCATCTAATCCAGGAGGCACCTGGTCCTTACAGCACCCAGCCCCTGTCACCTGTTCTCTGGGCCCGGGTGTCCCCAGGCACCCGCTCTCTGCGACCCCCCCCCCCCAGCCCACATGACTTGTAGCCTGTAATGAGTATCCCATGCCCACGTCCGCATGCCTGTAATGCCTACTCCCCCACCTAATCTTTGCCCTTCTACCCAATAAAAACAGCTGGCTTATGGTGGGGGGCAGAGCAGATTTTTGTGGGTGACCTGCTGCTCTCCCTGCTGCCGGCAGGACTGGAATAAATGCTCAGATAGCATCCGACCCTCTTTCTGCTGAAGTGGCTGAAGTGGTGACAGGCAGCCCGGACCCCTTGGTTGTCCGGTTACAGAAGGGTTCGAGCTGTTCACACTGCCAGACAAGGAACCTAATTGATGTCAAATGTTAGCAGGGTTTTTGGCCTCCTGCCCCGTTCTAGGCCTCGGGACTCTGAGATCCAGCGGGACCACAGGCTGTAGCCACAGCCAATATCTGGGAGGACTCCGTCCTAACACACTGCCCCAAGAGCTTCACTGGAGATCGTTTATTGATCACCCCAGCAATGCCACGTGGAAGTTACTCATTTTATTCCCATTTTAGACGTAAGGTGATGCTCACAGAGGGTTTAAGTAATTGGCTGAAACTCAGCATCCAAACAGGCAGATGGGGCTGTGTCCTGCCTGGGGCATTTCCCCTTAGCCCATGCTTTTTCTTGTTGAATACTTCTGTTTTTTACTACTAGTGGCCCAGTGCATGAAATTCGTGCACATTAAAAGGGAATTAATTAGAGGAAATATTTTAATATTGCTATTTGCCCTTTCTCTATACTAGAAGTGTCATAGATGAAAGAAAATTAGTAAAATGTATATGAAAATCTTTCCTCCTGTCAGAGTCTGGGGCACTACGAGACTCAGAGTCAAATCCCCGCCCACCCGCGTGCACCTTGAAATCATGTGAAACCCAGACCTGGCCAGCCCCACTCCCATTGGGCGAGATCCAGGCCTGCCGGCCTACCCCCGTCAAGCCCCGCTATGTGGGGGGTGCAGCCTCAGGTCTCCCGGCCCAGTGCTGGGAGAGGGTGCAGCCTTAGGTCCCCAGCACACCCTCAGGTCCCCTGGCCTGGTGGGGGGGTGCGGCTTGAGGTCCCCATCAATCCCTGCTGGGCTGGGAGTGCAGCCTCTGGTCTCCCACCCTGGCCCCAGCGCCACGGAGCCTCAGGCCCCTGCTGATCGCTTGTTTCAGCTCCTTATGGAAACCCCGCTTCCGCTGTGGGTGCAGCCATCTTGTGATGGCATGAGGGTCAATTTGCATATTACCACTTTATTATATAGGGTTTTTGAAAAAGATTAAAAGCTATCCTGGCTTTCTTTATTTTAGACTAAAGAAAGGGATGAGGTCGCTCGCAACAGGCAAGTGTTCTGTGAGCACACGGTGTTTATCCTGGAAAGAGGCAAACAATCAACATGTTGCTTGGCAACAAGCACGTTTCCAAGCCTCCAGCTGAAAAGCAAACGCATTTCACAATGTGCACATGTTCTCTTACCTTGAATAAAGCAAGGACTCAGCTCTTTGTTTTTTTTTATGAACACACTGTTCTTTAAAAATGTATTTTAAACGTGCTTTGGAGAGGAAGAAATAAATGCCTTCATATTATGTGGGCCCCAGGGAGTTTTCTTCACAAAGTCCTTTACAAAACCGAGTCATTACTGCATGTTCATAGGGATGTTATGGAGTCATTTGCAGAAAAAAGACATGAAACTCCATGTTGCTCATAAGTAGAAAATGAGCTCTTTACGCTCAGATTTACTCTGCCAATGGCCACGATTCCCCCTTCACACCGCAGTTCTGAGGTTCGATTGGCTGCCAGGCGATCCTTACATTCCCTTGATGTCTATCTTAAACTTTAGCTGGCAAGGATTTTGCTGGGCCTCAGAGAACACGTGTGTCTCCTGGCCACGTCTACTTTCCTCTTATTCTAACCATCTACTTGCCTTTGACGGTTTCCCCATTCCTATGACCAGCCTCTTCCTTGAGAAAAAGCCTGACAAACACTGTGGAAAGTCCTGACAACTCGACCGATGAGCAAGGGCCTAGTACTCAACCTGAACTCTCGGTCCTTCGCCTGTAAATTGGAGATTCCTTCAGTGGCGATTGTAGGATAAAATCAGCGACATGCTGGAGCACACCAATGTTAAATCCTGTGAAATCTTAGAATAAAGTCCTAGGAGATGAAAAGCTAACGAACAAAGAAAAAGCTCTGGACAAGGGTAGGGGAACTGGGAGCCCTTGGGGCTTGAATGAAACGGACCCTGGAGGCACAATCAAGTCTCCTCCCTGCTGAGGAATGCCAGGTAGTTGAAAAATTTACACAACAATGGATACTTCCTCCCCGCCCTCAGCAACTCCTGCAGTTCTCTGTACGCTTGGATATCAGCTGAATTAAAACTCCAAACGATGGTCAGACAACTGTGGACCTTGCCAAGACGTACTATTTAGCTGCTCAAAACAATCCAGGGGTTCTTTCTGTGAAAAAAAAAAAAAAAAAACCGTGGAAACGTTAGTGGGTTTGGATGAAAAAATTAAACTAAGGACAGGCAAGTTACTGCCTTAACCAGGCGATGCAAGATCAAGAGAGCAAATCAGACAAGGCCACCTTCCTTTGCTAACTACCCCAGCAGCAAATATCCCAGTTGCATAGGTAACTTTTACTAAGGAGGCGGGGGAGAAGCAGGCTTCTTGCCTGAAACATTTGCACCACTTTTAGAGCTACAGATCTTTGAGACATTGTGGGTGGCTCTGAAAAGAGCCTTTTGGTTAGGAATTGGGCCGCTTGCTCGCGCGTCTACTTGGAGCTGGTGTACTTGGTGACGGCCTTGGTGCCCTCGGACACGGCGTGCTTGGCCAGCTCGCCGGGCAGCAGCAGGCGCACGGCCGTCTGGATCTCCCGGGACGTGATGGTCGAGCGCTTGTTGTAATGCGCCAGGCGCGACGCCTCGCCCGCGATGCGCTCGAAGATGTCGTTGACGAAGGAGTTCATGATGCCCATGGCCTTGGACGAGATGCCGGTGTCGGGGTGCACCTGCTTGAGCACCTTGTACACGTACACCGAGTAGCTCTCCTTGCGGCTGCGCTTGCGCTTCTTGCCGTCCTTCTTCTGCGCCTTGGTCACCGCCTTCTTGGAGCCCTTCTTCGGGGCGGGCGCGGACTTGGCGGGCTCGGGCATGGTCAGAAAAACTCCTGAAGCACTTAGGGGAGAAGTAGAGAAACAGTAAGACGAGGTCTACAGCGTCTTCTTTTATAGAGAATTTATGCAAATGAGGTCCTCAAGCATCTCCAGATCTGATTTGATGATGTGTCAGTGACGAGCTCATGTAAATTCACTTGCATCACATCATCTTTCTCATTGGTCGGCGGAATGCCAAATGTGCATTTTGATTGGTTAAGATGAAACCGCAGTCTTAACCCATGACACATATGTTTCGCGCCCAAAAACGTTTATAAAAGGGCCGCCCCCATCCTCTCATACTTCCTGGGGAGTTTGTAAGTGCATCATGTCTGGACGCGGCAAGCAGGGCGGCAAGGCGCGCGCCAAGGCCAAGACGCGGTCCTCGCGGGCCGGGCTGCAGTTCCCCGTGGGCCGCGTGCACCGGCTGCTCCGCAAGGGCAACTACGCCGAGCGCGTCGGGGCGGGCGCGCCCGTGTACCTGGCGGCCGTGCTGGAGTACCTGACGGCCGAGATCCTGGAGCTGGCGGGCAACGCGGCCCGCGACAACAAGAAGACGCGCATCATCCCGCGCCACCTGCAGCTGGCCATCCGCAACGACGAGGAGCTCAACAAGCTGCTGGGCAAGGTGACCATCGCGCAGGGCGGCGTGCTGCCCAACATCCAGGCCGTGCTGCTGCCCAAGAAGACCGAGAGCCACCACAAGGCCAAGGGCAAGTAAATCAAGTGCCTACAACCTACTGCCTTTTTTTTTTTTTTATTTTTTTTAACCCAAAGGCTCTTTTCAGAGCCACACATTTTCTCAAAAAGAGCCAGCTTTGGTGCTGCTTCCCAATCGGGCAGGATAGCCACCTTCTCCCATAGTCACTGCAGCTCGTTCATCGGGAGTTACTGTCTTTGCTACTTGTGATTCCTGCGCTTGAATGAGGTCCTGGGAGAGGGGACTGTTATTAAGGCTTTGAATTTGGGGGGAGCCAGTGAAGGAGACATTAGGGGACAGTTTGGCTCGGTGTTGAGTAGTTTCTCTAGGGAGGAGGGAAACCAAAGGTCAAACGAGAGGTAAAGAACTTAACTTTCCAGGTCAGTAAATCTCCCTGCGGGTGGCAGTTTGGTCGTCTCTGCTCGTCTCAGGAAAGGCAATACAAGTGAGTCTGTTCTCAACGCGTGGTCCTCACACCCTTATGCCCCAAGACAGGTCCGCTGAGCCAGAATTGGCACTAAGTGGTTCCTCACTTACAATTTGAGGTACAATAAAGAACTTTAGAAAATTACTCTTTAAATCACAGACTTGCTACACAGATCAGAGAGTGGAGCAATTCATCAGCTTAATTCATTTGTTTAACTTCAGCCAATGGATTCTCTGCGCGGGACTTTTGAAAAGGCGCACAACCAATCAGCATGGTTTTGAGGGTATATAAGGGTTGCCTCCTCTTCCCATCCCTTTCTATTCAACTTAGTCGGTTTCCTTCACTGTCCTCCAAATGGCTCGGACCAAGCAGACGGCGCGCAAGTCCACGGGCGGGAAGGCGCCCCGCAAGCAGCTGGCCACCAAGGCCGCCCGCAAGAGCGCGCCGGCCACGGGCGGCGTGAAGAAGCCGCACCGCTACCGGCCCGGCACCGTGGCCCTGCGCGAGATCCGCCGCTACCAGAAGTCCACGGAGCTGCTGATCCGCAAGCTGCCCTTCCAGCGCCTGGTGCGCGAGATCGCGCAGGACTTCAAGACCGACCTGCGCTTCCAGAGCTCGGCCGTCATGGCGCTGCAGGAGGCGTGCGAGGCCTACCTGGTGGGGCTGTTCGAGGACACCAACCTGTGCGCCATCCACGCCAAGCGCGTCACCATCATGCCCAAGGACATCCAGCTGGCGCGCCGCATCCGCGGGGAGCGGGCGTGAGCTCCGTCCTGCCCACTTGCGCCGGAACCCAAAGGCTCTTTTCAGAGCCGCCTAGAGTCTCAATTAGAAGCGCTGTGGGCCAAGGGCTGGGATCTAAACTTAGTTCCCGCCAGCAGCTCACAGCTTGTTGCAAATAAGCGTGAGGTCATTATGCAGAACGCGTCTATAGGTGCAGAATCCACACCTTGCGCAGGTGAAATACTAATTAAGTGGTAATCTTAAAGGAACAGCCACACAATAGGTCCTCCCTTTCCTCCCACAAGGGTGGCCTCTCGAAGCCCCTCGGGCAATGCAGGATTGGTGGTTTCGCGCACATTAGCAATGGGGGCTCCCAGCCCGAGGCGACTGGGAAACACCGGCCTCTTCAGCCGCTAAGTAAATCGCTTTGCACTTAAAGTGGAATCCAGGCTCCAGGCCTCACCACAGAACCTGGCTTCCCCGGAACTGACTTCACCGGACTCAGGCTCTTAAGAGCTACCCATTTATTTAATTTAGTTAAAACAATTTCTATATATTTACATTTTTAATGTGTCTTGAGGTTTTTGAAGTTGATTTGGGACATTGAGGTGGTCTGTTTTCATAAGGGACTGGGTGCACTTGCTCAGCTTGCCTCCTGGGGGTGACGTGGGACTGCTGGTTTCAGAGTTTCCTGTGATGTTTCAGATGCCCCCCTAGGCCCCTCTGGGGCTGCTTTGTACCCCACAAGTGAGCAGGTCATGTGCGAAAGTTGTCCCAAGGTAGGAGCCTTGCTGGCCAGCGGGAAGAGGATGTAAAGGTGAGTTTCTGGTGTCCCCAGGGGCTTAGCAATGGGCTGAGCTGTTTCCCTGTGTTTGAAGACTGGAAGGGGCAGGAATAGTACGTGAAATTCGGAGGATATGGACACACATTGTGAAAGGTGAGGTTCTTTACCCACAAAAGGTTGGATGCGGGGCTGCATTTTCTGTTGACCCCTCCTACAGCTTTGTTCCCACGTTTGGTCATTGATCACTGGGAAACATGCTATCCGGACATCTTTGGTCTTTGCTTTTTAAAAAAATATTTTTATTGATTTCAGAGAGGAAAGGAGAGGGAGAGAGAGAGAGAAATAGAAACATCAACGATGAGAGAATCCTTGATCAGCTGCCTCCTGCATGCCCCCTATTGGGGATCAATCTCGCAACCAGAGCATGTGCCCCTGACATGAATTGAACCTGGGACCCTGCATTCCGCAGGCCAACGCTCTTTACACTCAGCAAAACCAGTTAGGGCTGATCTTTGCTTTTTTAAAAATATATATTTTTATTGATTTCAGCAAGGCAGGGAGACGGAGAGATAGAAACGTCAACGATGACAGAGAATCATTGATCGGCTGCCTCCTGCACGCCCCACCCCAGGGACCAAGCCCACAACCTGGGTATGTACCCCAACTAGGAATTGAACCGTGACCTCCTGGTTCCCAGGTGGAGGCTCTACCCCTGAGCTGCAGCGGCTGGGGTGACCTTAGCTTTTTTTTTTTTTTTTTATGTCATTCCCATGACAATGTACAGTTAGAAGTGAGGCAGCTTTGGCTTTCCTGTGAAATATTTATCCTTTATTTGTCCTTTGTCACACAGAATAATGAGGTCATTGTTTATGACAGTTGACAATACGGATTTCTAATGAGCGTATTGGTTGCAGAACGGAAGGCTCTGCCCTGAGGACTTGATAGTCTGGGGGAAAGTAGCAGGTTGGGCAACGCTTGGATCTTCTAGAAATGTGGTCTCAGACCCACCCAGGCCCCTCAATGAACACGGTCCCCAGTTCTCCTGGGGTGATTCTCATGAATGCATTTTAGGAACCTACTCTTTAAAGGGGTGGTTTTGGTCTCATCAAGAAAGTCAGTCTTCTGTGAACCCTCAGCGGGAGTAAGCATTTACAAATTGTATGTTTATTCCCGGCATAGAATTAGCTATTCTCTGAAGCACTGACCCACAACAACGTGCACCGAAGGCAGGTTGATTTTATTATAGATCTGAGGTCTCGATGCTGACTGCTCATTAGAACTTGGTATATCTTCTTAAATGAGCTGAGGAAAAAAAAAAAAGGCAGGATCGAGGCAGATAGGACTGGAGCTGCTGTATCAGATGGTTATACTTGGAAAGTATATGAAAACAGCAGCGTGTTTCAATCACTGCTGCGACCCCAAACTCAGTCTGACCTCGTCCACAGAAGGCACTGAGTCTGACCGTTCATCCTCGCGCTGACTGCACACAGCGGCGTACGCTCTCAAGCACTATTTACTGCAAAATGATCATTTAATTTTAATGAGAGCTGTATCATCTTACTTTCTCTCCCACGGAAACAATTCTGGCCAGTATTTACAATTCATTTCCGTTGTACTGGAGACGTGTCCTTCTGAAGACGTAAGAACTCCCCAATGTTCCCTCTTGCTTTTATACATGACCTGTGCCATGTCCCCTGAAATTTATTTTCCTTTCTTGTTTAGTAGTTAAACACCCCAACCTGCCTTTGCAGTGAGGTACGGCCACTATTTTTGGTCAATGGTATCTTATACCATCCTTCAGGGTTTCAAAAAAAAAAAAATGGTGGGGGTATTCCCTTCTCCTTTTTTCTTCCTTCAAGACAATCTGAACGTGAGGCTGTAGCTGGTGCCAACATCTTGGTCAGGGCCCATGAAGAATGAGAATGACAGGTGGGAAATCACCTTAATGCAATGGTGGCCTCAGAATCCACTGCCAGGCCGGCCATTTCCAAGGTGATGGAACAGAAAGGGTCACAGAGCAATAGAAGTTCCCCGAGTTCCACGACTTAATTGCATTGAATTAATCTTAAATGCACAGCCAGAAACAAGGGGGAAAGAGATTGGGCAAGTTAGCACATTTCAGACACATTGTAAACGGGCAGCCAAGTCTCACATCTTTCTCCCTCCCTCCCCCTTCCCTCTCCCTTCTCCCTCCCCGGGACCGTCTTCTCTGCTGAGACAGTGGACCTGAGAACCGGAGTTGAGGGAAGGGGCCCAGCCGATGGGAGGCTGTGCAGTTGGCCCTGCATCTCTCCCATAGAGCAAACATGTTGGACCAAATAAACTCAACCTGTTAACTACAGTCCAAACATTGAAATTTGCACTCCACACCCTTAGTTAATCCCTTCCTCTTGCTGTCTTCCTGTCATTTCTCTTCCTCCATCTCCCAGAGCTGCCTCCAGGGAACTTGGGAATGTAAGGTTAAGTCATGTCAGCTTTTGGCAACGGTACCCCCTTGTGTGATCACCTTACATGTCCAAGCGAGGTGACACGCCCGTCGAGGACACTGCTCTTTTCCTAGTATCTGTCACGTAGGCTCTCAAGAAGTGAACAGTTGTCCTGGCCGGTTTGGCTCAGTGGATAGAGCGCCGGCCTGCGGACTGAAAGGTCCCAGGTTCGATTCCGGTCAAGGGCATGTACCTGGGTTGCGGGCACATCCCCAGTGGGAGATGTGCAGGAGGCAGCTGATCGATGTTTCTCTCTTATCGATGTTTCTAACTCTCTATCCCTCTCCCTTCCTCTCTGTAAAAAATCAATAAAATATATTAAAAAAAAAGAAGTGAACAGTTTCCCAGTTTCTCCACTCAGCACCCCAATTAGGGAAGAATCTGCCCCAAGCCCACCTCGGCCCCATGATCCCACAGGAGAGCCCCCTCCTAGCCCAACATTTCGGGTATCTGTGTACTTGTTAGTGGAGGCCATGTTGAAATTCCGCAGCTGAAACACCATTGTTAATTATCAGCCTGTTAAGGGAAGACTGCAAAAGCCAAAGACATTACCAACAAACAGGCCTGTCTCAGGTCTCCTTATCTCCTTCCTCCTGTAAAACCCATTCAATCTTCCAAGTCTAAGTTGCCTATCACACGGCTAGAGGTTTGAGAAACTCTCCAATGACCTTTTTCGGTTCCATAGCCTCCGCCCAATTCCTACTATGCCAGAAACCAGCCTTAATCTCACCAGCACGAACAATAATTTACACAGAGACAGAAAGCACATATATATCCAATTTGCCCCAACATATCTACAAAGGAATTTCCTTTAGAGATGAGAACAGTGCCCCACATTAC